GAATTTTCCAACTCTACTTTTCTTTTTCAGGATTGCTGTGTTTATTCTAGAACGTTTTTGTTTCCATATCAATTTGATATTCTTTCTTCTGCTTGGTCTAGTCTACTGATGATAGTTTCTGTGCTATTTAGTGAGAAAACTGACTCCACAAAGTTGTCCTCTGACTTCCACTTGTGTGCTGTGGCGTGTGTGTCCCACTCACATATTCACACTATTGATACACACACACACACACACACTATATATATATATATATATATATATGTATATATATATGTATATATATGATTGTTATTTCTGGCCTTTTCTTATGTTTCAGGCTCTTATCCATTAGCTGCATATGTTTTTGTTTGTTTTTTGATGCAGGGCCTCTCTCTATATAGCCCTGGAACTCACTATGTAGACCACCCTGGCCCCAAACTCACAGAGCTCTGCCTTCTTCTGTCTCTTAAGTGCTGGGATTAAACTTGTATGATACCACACCCAGTACTATGATTTAAAAAAATGATAATTTTTATTTATTCTTTGAGAATTTCATACATATATACAGTATATTTTGATCATATTCACCTCCGGTCTCCTTCTCCAACTCTCTTTGGTTATGCATCTCTCTATCCCCCCTCCAATTATTATTTTTTAAAATAATGCACTAAGTCCAGCTGGTGCTGTGCTGCCCATATATGCACAGATGGGGGACACACACCCGAGCGTGGTCATCTACCAGGCACCACAACCCCAAAGAAAACCCCCTTGCCTAGCAGCTGTAACTCCTCAGCTAGGGGTAAGGACTTGTGAGCCCCTTTCCCATCCCTGCTGGAATGGTGACTGCTGTGACCTTGTGAGGTATTGTGCAGGCTGCTCCACCTGGTGTGAGGTCATGAGTGCAGTGTTTCTGCCATGTCCAGAAGACACTCTTTGCCCTAGCCTTTCCCACCTTCTTCTATTACAGTCTTCCTGCTCCTTCTTTAGTGATGTTTCCTGGATGTTAAGGGGAGGGTGTGTGATGTCGATGTCCCATCTGTGACTGTATACTCGATAGACATTTGTTCTCTGTACTTTGGTCAGTTGTAAGTCTCCGTATCAACTGTTGTCCACACACAAAGAAGCTTCTCGATGAGGTCTGAGGGTTGCACTCATCTGTGGACGTAGAAATATGTAGTTAGAAGATAATTTGATACTGTGTTCATTTTCCAGAAGAGTATTAGGTTCACCCCTAGGACCTACGGCTCCCCAGTCAAAGGTCTTTGTCAGATTTACAGTACCAGGCATGGAGGTTCCTTTTGAGGAGTTGGCCTTAACTTCAAACAGAAAGTTGTTGGTTACTTCCATGATATTAATGCCACTATTGCACCTGTGGCATGTCTTACCATCCATGATATTAATGCCACTATTGTACCTATGTCATATCTTACCATCCATGATATTAATGCCACTATGGCACCCATGGCATATCCTACCATCCATGATATTAATGCCACTATGGCACCCATGGCATATCCTACCATCCATGATATTAATGCCACTATGGCACCCATGGCATATCCTACCATCCATGATATTAATGCCACTATGGCACCCATGGCATATCCTACCATCCATGATATTAATGCCACTATGGCACCCATGGCATATCTAACCAGGCCAGTTGTTATTGTAGCTAGCAGGGATCACAACTGAGGAAGACTGTTGATGACTTTTCTTCTCCACAATTCTGCTTTGTACCTTCTGGTATTATTACAGATAGCCAGTAAGAAGGAAACTTCCTGGTCAGTACCAGCTTAATTTCTCCAAGTCCTATGACCAAAGTGTGTGGTGTTTTTAGCAATAAGGTCTTACCATCAAGTTCTTGTGGGCAACCTAGAACAGTGGAAATAACTTGCATTGTTTTGAGGAGAGTATCCCAAAGATTCAACAACTCAAGAAGAGGTGTCCCACACCCAGCACTGTGGCTCTTCTGAGAGGAGCATTATCTCTTTGTAGGGTAACTCCAATTAAACACACACACTCTGTCTCTTTCTCTGTCTCCCCCCCCCTCGTGTGTGTGTGTGTGTGTGTGTGTGTGTGTGTGTGTGTGTGTGTGTGTGTGTGTGTGTAAGGAAATTTATAAATTTTAGACTTCCACATGGCTTTTTCAAACATCATGAGTGTTAATTACTTCTCCTCCAGGGCCCTCCTCTTCCCCATGGCTCTATGTTTTTTATAAGCTTCAGGTTTTTCTGTCTGCCCCATAATACACTGATTTAGTATCAGGAAGCTAGAGCAGAGATAAGTAAGGAGTTTCATTTATTGAATGCATTTATAACAATAAACGGAAAATGTTAACTAAATAGTTAAAAGAAAAGTACAATGTATATGTTAACCTTTTGATATGTTGATCTGTTCAAGTTCCCATGTGCCTGTGGAAAAAGAGAAAATGCCTTTTTAAGAAGCACAGAACCCTCTTATTACCTAGTATAGAGCAAGTCAGTCTGTCATGAGGCATCAGTCCCTGCTCGGGTCTGCACAGGAAATAGAAGAGCAGGAAGGAATGTGTATCCCACGACTGATATGTAACTGTAAAGCACCGTGACCCCAAGTTCTTGTTAAATGTGAACTCAATGTCCCAGATCACTTTCACTTCCTTTTCTGAGGAAAAACTGAAGGGTGGTTAGTCAGAAGACGTAGGTAGAGAATAAACCACAGGAAGAAAGTAAGACATTTCTCTTTAAAAGTGTTTTTTTTTTTTTTTTTTTTTTTTTTTGTTGTTGTTTTTTTTTTTTTTTTGTTTTAATTTGAGCTTGTTTTTACTGAGTTCTCAGAAACCTGTTGCTTTTTGGGAGAAAAGATGGTTGTTGTTTTAGGGCTTTGAACTAATATTTAAAAAAAATACTATATATGGAAAGTCTAGTCTAGTTCCTGGTGTGCACAAAACTGATAACTATCCATACCCTATTAGAGTTTAGGAGAAGAGAACCAGATTTAGGTGGGGAAGGGGGAAAATATCTACAAAGGCCACTCTGAAAGGAATAGAATTTCCATAGATTGACGTTCTGGGAGACGCTTTTGTCAGATGATAGCATGAGTCCAGAAATGTAGCCCAGCAGAGGTGGAAATAGGGTTCTGAGTTGCACCACACTGTGCACAATCTTAAGTGAGACGGAGAAGTTCATGCATGCTAAGTCTGTTAAGTGATAGGATGTTTTTAAAATTTTATTTATTTTAACTTGTTTTGTATTTTAAATTATGTGTGTACATGTGTGTCTGAGTGTGGTTCTGTGTACGTGAAGGTCTGAAGAGGGCAGTCAGTTCCCTGGAGTTGGGGTAACAGGCAGTTGAGAGCCTCCTCACATAGGGTCAGGAAACTGAACTTGGGCCCTCCGGAAGAACAGCAAGCTCTCTTAATCTCTGAGCTGTTTCTCCAGCCACTATTTTATTTTTTCGTGTGTGTGTGTGTGTGTGTGTGTGTGTGTGTGTGTGTGTGTGTGTGTGTGATGGTGCAAATGTGGAAATCAGAGGACAGATGTGGGAGCTGGTCTTCTTTCACCATGTGGGTTCTGGGCTTGAACTCAGGTCACTGGGCCATCTCACTGGTCCAGTAGGATGCTTTTGAGCAGAAGATTTATCTAGTTAAGGCTGAGCCACTGGGAGTTTCATTTGGCAGTGATAGGTGACATTTCGAGAATGGGGAAAGATTGTGAGCAGGGAAACTATTTTTGACACCTCATGGTAATCCAAGTGAAGTCCAATGAAGGCTGATTAGTTTGTCTGATTTCCGTTCTGTCTTCTTGCTGAGCTCAGAGCCTTTCCTGCATAATCATGACTTTAAATACATATTTTTCTTTATTTGTATAAAGTCCTTTAGGGAACAATCCCATAAAAACCACTAGTCTTAAACTTTTCTTAACAGCTGTTAAATGTAAAGGCAGATAGTGCATTAGACCCACATCTGTCAACTTTAATTCTGTCTATACATGCCCTTGTGTTTAGAAAACCAGCCCTTCTGCTTTCTTTCTAGAGAGAGTCTCTCTGTGTAGACCAAGATGGCCTCAAGTTTGTGATTCTCCTGCCTCAGTCTCCAGAGTCCAGGAGTTATTGGCATGTGCCACTGTGGCATGTTCAAGCCTAATCCTTAGCAGTCAGGGGTTTCACACACTCGTCAGTGTTCATCACTGTAGAGGACCACTGCTTTCCGTGGGAGATTCAGAGTGGTTAATGCCATCGTGGACACCAAAGAGAATACTGTTCTTCCACTGTTGCCAGATGAAAAGGAGGAAGCCTGAGAATTAGAGTTTGTGACTTCAGTTGGAGCTTGGGACAGGATGAGGAGTGGTCAGATGAGGATGTCTGAGTGCCTTATATACATCTGGAAGGTTACATCAGAGACCGATTTTACCAAACATGTTAGCCTACTATGTGCTTTCCTTAAGTTTCTCTCCAGGGGTTGTCAAGTACTTCCCACTTTTGAAATATCTGAGATGGAAGACAACTCAGAAAGTTGATAATCTTTGCTTACTTGAGGAACAGAGACTGTGTGAGGGAAGCAGGAGTTCCTACCTTTTCTGTTTGTTCTAGAAGAGCATTGGGACCTGCCAGAGTAAATCAAAATCACTTTTTCTTCTCTGCTGTTTTTTTTTTTTTTTTTTTTTTCCCGAGACAGAGTTTCTCTGTGTAGCTTTGCGCCTTTCCTGGATCTCGCTCTGTAGACCAGGCTGGCCTCGAACTCACAAAGATCCACCTGCCTCTGCCTCCTGTGTGCTGGGATTAAAGGCGTGCGCCACCACCGCCCGGCCTCTGCTGTGTTTTTTAAGTGGTAGGTTATGGTTAAAAGACTGAAATTTATTAAAACTAGCAGAAATAGCCTCTAATTTTGGTTCATTAGTTCACTGTCTAAATATTTTGTGACTTCCAAAAATGCATATTCATAGTGATAATCATGACTTGAAGTCAAGTAAGAGGAGAGAAACACTGCAGGACTTTTACCTTGAAATCTTAACACCAGAGTCTTCTTTCTCTCCATGCAGGTTGGGTGTTGAAAACCAAGACATATTTTAGTAGAAATTCACCGGTTTTATTACTTGGAAAATGTTATCATTTTAAATATGAAGGTAAGTGATAAACATGTAAAGCATTAAAAAAATCTGAACAATTTCATTGCTAAACTTATTATTTCCAGATTAAACTGTTTTGACATGTTAACCACCTACACTTTGTATGACATAATGTGTTACTATATGGTTTGGTCCTTGTCCATCCCTTGAGGATAAGGATCATATCTTCTTTCACTACAGCCCTCATATTTTGGACTTTGATTCTACATAGGTACTAAATATTACTTAAGTTGATATGCTTGTGTTCTTTGTTAAGATCTGTGGTAACTTTAGTGTATGATAACAAAGGAAGGAAACGGTCACCTTGGCGACTTCCCAAAGCCCAGTAGTCACATTCCACTTCTCTACAATATTGAAATTCATGGGAGTCAATCAGGCTTTGTAGGTGCAGACTCTTTCCAGAACTTTCCTCCACACCTTCCTTTCCCCATATTGTTTTCCTCTCGTTGGTGACTTCATCCTCCTACTGTTTTCAGGACACCTTGTCCCACTCACTCTCTTGTTCCCCCGCTCCTCTCCCTCTGGACTTCTTCCCCCACATAATCCCCCTTCCACTTTCTTCTTAAATCGTGTTGTATGCCCAGTGGAGTGGCCTTCTGGTCATTGACGAGTGCATTGGTCAGTCTCTGTCTATTTGTGTAGGTTTTGTAGTTCTTGGTATTTCTTTTTTCTTTCTTTCTTTCTTTTTTGCATTTCAGAATCTATTTTATTTCAGGTAACAACATGGGCATTGTAAAATATTTTTCATAGAAGAGCACCTTCTGGCAAGATTCAGTTGAGAGTCCATTGTCTGTAGGGTGATCTTTGGTCATCTGAACAGCTCGCCAGCCAATGAGAAGGCCAGTGTTCAGCTTACCAAGTTCCAGGCTGGTTGTCCAACTAGTTCAGTAGCTCAACACATATTTATCCTCAGAAACAGCTTAGCAAACACCACTCAGCCTGAGAAAAGACATGTTAGAGGTCTTCAGGATGTATAGTTGACTCCAACATCCACCAACCTTTTGTTCCCTTCATCTGAAATGCCTTCTTTCTGTTCCAGTTGGCTAACCCATCCTTATTGTATGTTGTCCTCCAGGACTGTCCCCTCCAGAAAGTCCCTCCAATGAGATTACTCTTTGAATCAGTGTTGTAACTCATGTTCATGTGTAAGGTCAGCACACACACATCTGTGCATGAAGCATAGCACATGGGAAGTCTATTGTTTGCCGTTTGTTTCCATGTCAAGGCCAAAGGTGCTGAGCATTTTTTCCCCTTTAAAACTTTGCTTCGTCCCTTTAATTCAGGGCACTTAGGCATGAAATGGCAAAGGGACCTTTTCCTTCTTGTCTTCCATCCTTTCATGGGGCTGCCTCATTGTCTGCCTGGTGTGTTTGAACACATTACAGGCAGTATTTCTTAGTATTGTGTAATCAGCCTGACTAAGCCTCCAGTATTATTAGCAATTTTATTTTATTTGTTTGCCTCCTTTCCTCACCTTTTATTGTGTGTGTGTGTGTGTGTTTTTTTTTTTGAAGCATTCCTCATTCTTCTTAAAGCCCTTGGGACAAAGTTCGTTTAGTCCTGACAGTTTCTCCATGGTATTCGGTGTTGACTAGGTCTGAAGAGGGTGAGAAGTGAGTGACTTCTTGAGTGTTTGTAAGATGAGGCATGAGAGTCAGGAACTACTGTATCACATTTAAAACAAATTTGAACGTCAAAAGGGGCATATTTAGACATATTGTAGTGCCATGTTTAATTTCCAGGCACTTTTATTTGTAACTAACTTCAAGTTCTATATAATACTGAGAGAAAGTCATGTCAACAGAGGCTTGGCATTCATTTGTTTATTAGCATCTGCTGAATATATATGAAGTTAGAGTGAAGGACATTTTTCAGAATGAGCTGAAGGAAAGGGATGGGTGAAGGAAGAATGAAGAGAAAGTGCACTGTAAAACTCTCAGTCTTTAACATCCTATAGAAGGGCTTTGGATATTGAACTTGGAATTGAGAGTTGTAGCTTGCACACATCCAGGTCAGCCAACACTAATACTTAGCAGAATCTACTAATGCTAAACAGCGTCTCCAGCTGCAGGTGAAAGGTGATGTGGTTTCTTTGGGAGTCATTGAGGAATGGTACTTTATTTTGAGAATAGTGTTTTGTAAATTATTGGGCAAACAATAGCTTTTTCATAGTAATTGTGCTAGAGATAATCAGCCTATAAAGGCCTTTAAAATGATATGTGTGGGTGGCAACAAATTCTGAAAAATTGTATGTGAACATAAAAGGACATTTATGTTTTAAGAATTTTATATTCTTACTCCATAGCTTATTAGTTTGACTTTATAATTTTAGTGTAAATATTCATGACAATACAATGTGATTATACACATTTTTACATATTGACAAGTCATGACATGTTATTTGCAAGTCACATTCCCTTTTTTTTTGGTTTTTCGAGACAGGGTTTCTCTGTGTAGTTTTGGTGCCTGTCCTGGATCTCACTCTGTAGAGCAGGCTGGCCTAGAACTCACGGAGATCTGCCTGGCTCTGCCTCCCGAGTGCTGGGATTAAAGGCGTGCACCACCACCGCCCAGCTGCAAGTCACATTTCAAAGAACTCTAATATGTGTGTCCTGGGCCAATGGAGGTAGAAAGAAAAGGTGTTTTACATTACCTTCTCATCCTAGAAGTGGTTTTTACGTGGGTGCAAGCTGTTCGCTGTTAACAGCAGTATTACTGTGAATTCTTGTCTTGCTTTCCCCCTGTGTACAAACCACCTCAGGTTCATTCTCATTTGACTAGACAGTTAATGCTTATATTCCTTTTAAATGAACAGAAAAAAAGATCAAAAGATTGTGACGTGATTTATAACAAAACAGGAATGATATTGCCATCATGCATACTTCTTCACCTGTCTTTATATTATGTAACTTACATTTTTAAAAATTTTGTAGATGAAAACAAGATGTTGCCTGCAAGATCAGGATGTACCATTGAAGATCATGTAATTGCAGGAAATGTGGAAGAATTCCGTAAGGATTTCATTTCTAGAATTTGGCTGACCTACCGGGAAGAATTTCCTCAAATAGAAGCGTCAGCCTTGACAACCGACTGTGGCTGGGGCTGTACACTGAGGACCGGCCAGATGCTGTTGGCTCAAGGCCTCATATTGCATTTCCTTGGTAGAGGTAAATCAAGTGCTGTTTTCACTTTGAGCATCAGCTTGTATAGAGCATACACCTTGATGAGGCTAATTCTATTACATTTGTGTTGAGCTGAGCTGAGTATCTTACACACACGTTCCTGACTCTCCTTTCAGAACTGCACATTCAACATGGCCATCTTGTCACCACTGTGAATTTATTTCACCTTTTATTGTTCTAGTTGAATTCTCGGGAGTGTTTCCAGCTCATTAAGTCCTGAGCAGGAGAATTTTTACTCTGGTTTATTTTTCTCTGTATGTGTCAGTAGTATTCTGAAAATTTTATCTTTATAAGTAATCTATAATTCTCTATATTATTTTAACTTAATTATTATTATTCCTTTTTGAGACAGGGTGTTGCTGGAGTTTTCCTGCCTGGCCCACAGTCAGGACAAATCTCTCTCACCCGCCAGTCCCAAGCCGCTCAAACCCGATCAAGTAAACACAGACACTTATATTGGTTTCAAACTGTATGGCCGTGGCAGGCTTCTTGCTAACTGTTCTTACAGCTTAAATTAATCCATTTCTATTAATCTATACCTTGCCACGTGGCTTGTGGCTTACCGGTACTTTACATCTTCCTTGTCCTGATGGCGGCTGGCAGTGTCTCCCCTCAGCCTTCCACTTCCCCGCTCTATCCTCCTCCTTGTCCCGCCTATACTTCCTGCCTAGCCAATGGCCAATCAGTGATTTATTTATTGACCAATCAGCAACACATTTGACATACAGACCATCCCACAGTACTTCCCCTTTTCTTTTCTTAAAAAGGAAGGTTTTAACCTTTACACATCTCTAAAGTCAGCTTGGTATATTTGGGAATTTGGGCGTAGCTTTTCTTACTACTTTTTGCTGGAGGGGGGCGCTGTATCTTCTGGGGAAACAAAGAAAATTTTAGGATCATGGAGTAGTCCGTGAGGCTGTATCATCTGAGCCAGTTGTCTTGAAACGGTTCTGGATGTTGGATCATCTGGGCCATGGTGTCATCGGAGACCTTTTAGGGGGTCTTGGCTGGTCAAACCTGATGTATCTTACTCTGGAACAAATCCATAGCCTCTTGTTTTCTGTGGAAACAAAAGAGACTCTTTTTCAAAGCAACATATCCTTACATCCAAATTTTGAAGTCAAAGTATCTTTAAAATATATATACTGGTTTAACTCAGCTTCCTTTACAATCAAATATCTCTCTGTAGTTAAGAATCCCAAAGACAACACAATCCAGACTCTTTGTGTAATAGTCATCTCTACGTGGCTTATTTTTTATATTAATTTTACTGTCTCTTTAAAGACTTTATTTTTTTTAAAACCATGTATTTGTTTCTATACTGTATATATCATCTTTTTTTTGTCTCTTTTAAGCCTACGTATATTTTACACACATTTTAAACTATTACATCTGAATCTGTCTTATTATGAATCTGTTGCTTTAAGCTGTAGCAGCTGTGGCTGCTGGCTCCACCCACCTCAGCTTCCCAACATGGCGGCAGTATGCTTACCGCCAGCTCTGGGAGCTATCGTGGGTCTATGTTTTTATCCAAGCAGCATGTAGCTCAGAAACCTCTTTTTTTGTTTTGTACTAGCAAAGGCTAAATCCACAATGCAGCTTAATGTGCCATTTGTAGAGATTTCATTCCCGCCATACTGCAGGTCGAGCGCGCACGCCAGCAACCCGCCAGTAGCTCAAACCGGCAGCTGCCGCTCATTTGAGAGAGACAATTAGGAAGCTGTTTTTAGCTCCGTTTTAGAATCTTTTTTTTCAGGTTTTAGGTGGAAACTCTTGCCCCACGTTGGGCGCCATTTGTTGCTGGAGTTTTCCTGCCTGGCCCACAGTCAGGACAAATCTCTCTCACCCGCCAGTCCCAAGCCGCTCAAACCCGATCAAGTAAACACAGACACTTATATTGGTTTCAAACTGTATGGCCGTGGCAGGCTTCTTGCTAACTGTTCTTACAGCTTAAATTAATCCATTTCTATTAATCTATACCTTGCCACGTGGCTTGTGGCTTACCGGTACTTGACATCTTCCTTGTCCTGATGGCGGCTGGCAGTGTCTCCCCTCAGCCTTCCACTTCCCCGCTCTATCCTCCTCCTTGTCCCGCCTATACTTCCTGCCTAGCCAATGGCCAATCAGTGATTTATTTATTGACCAATCAGCAACACATTTGACATACAGACCATCCCACAGTACAGGGTCTCACTATGTAGCCCTGACTGGCCTAGAACTCACTATGTAGACTAGGCCGGCCTTGAACTCACAGAGATCCACCTGCCTCTGTCTCTCAAGTGCTGGGCATGTGCCACCACACCTGGCTGTAATTTTTTATATTCAAAATTTAGGCATATTCTTAATAAGAACATTATGTGTAGCGTTTACAAAAAGACTTATTAAAATAAATAAGTGTGTGTGTGTGTGTGTGTGTGTGTGTGTGTGTGTGTGTGTCTGTGTGTGTGTGTGTGTGTGTCTGTGTGGAGGCCAGAAGATGTCAGATCCCTTGGAGCTGGAGTTGTAGGCACTTAGGAGCTGTCCAACATGGGTGCTGGGGACTGAGCCCAGTTCCTGGGCAGGAGCAGTCAGCACTCTGAACTCCTGACCCATCTCTCCAGCCCCAGAACTTAGACTCTGAAACCCTCAGACATCTCGCTGATGTTCTTTGACATTGACAACTTTGATTATTGACAACTTACTTGTATTTACTTTCTAATGCCATTTTCCTATCAGTCAGTTTTTTTTTTATAATGTATACATTTGTAAGAGGGTTTTGTTTTACTATTTTAGGCTATTATCTCTAGACACTACTAAATATCAGATTTCTTTAAAGTGTTAGACAATATCCCTGCACTAGTAACTTTTCTGTAGAGATGATTGAAGTTATTTAGCAAAAGTTTGTGAGTAGTGTGACTAAATACAAAGAAAAAGTCACTTTTTTAATATTTAAAACTTTTACACATTGGAATTTAAACTCAGGGCCTTGTTTATATGCCAGAAATGTGATCTATCCCTAAACACAACTGAGTAAGACTCAGTTTAGAGCAGTTTTTTGGGGGGTGATTTGTTTGTGGTCCTGTGTACTCAGGATCAGGGGTGCGAATGTTTATTCCTGAGCAGGTCTCTGAACCTGTGACTTCATCTAAACTCAAAATGATTTGCTTCATTAACTTACAAATAGTGTTTGAAGACTGCTGCAGTATTAGAAACAGTAAGATAATGGTTCCAGTTGCTGTGTCTTAACAGCTTTCCTGGATTTAGTCACTAGCTTCTCATTTACTAGAAAGCTATTACTCTCTAACAAACCATCATGGGATGCCGAAGGAAGGGACCAGAAGACCATCTTGAAGAAAAAGAAGAATTTCAGTCGTGGTCCTCCTCTGTGGCCTCCTGAGCACTGCCGCCCCCTCCCCATTCTCTGTTCTTCCTCTTTCCTCCAGTGTCTCCTCTGTCTTTTTAGTTTTTCTTCAGTACTGGGGATGGATTCCAGGGCTTTGAGCATGTTATACAGACACGAGGTACCCCTCACCCCACTGGTTTTGTTTTTTTCTCGGGGCAGGTTCTCGCTGTGTAGGCTAGGCTGGTCTCAAACGCCCAGTTTTCCTGCTTCAGCCTAGCAAGCCCTGGGGTTACCGTGCTTAGCTTGCTGTTTGTCTTCCTTCCTTCCTCCCTCTCTCCCCTCCCCCCTCCTCCCTCCCCTCCCCTTCCTCCTCCCCTTCCCTCCCCTCCTGTCCTCTCCTTCGTTCCTTCCTTCCTCCCTCCTTTCCCTGTCTCCCTTCCCCTCCCTCCCTCCCTTCCTTCCTTTCTTCCTTCTTTCCTTTTTTTCGAAACATAGTCTCACTGTGTATATCAGGCTGGACTTGAACTTACAGAGGTCAGCCTTCCTCAGCCTTCAAAGTTCTGTGATTAAAAATTTGCACCTCTGTGCCTGGCATACATTTTTTTTTTTCCCTCTTTCAAAGCAGCTTTTACCAAGTGGTCAGCCCTGAAATCATATACATACAAGTAACACTATATGTAACAAACAGGTTATATTTACATACTTACATGTTTAGGAATATGTGTTGTGTGTGTTGTTATGTATGTGTATATATATATATATATATATTTTGATATGTATATATTGCTATAGCTTGGACCTGGCCTGATGCACTGCATATAGAGAATTCAGACTCTGACTCATGGACTTCCAACACTGTCAAAAAGTTTACTGCATCGTTTGAAGCATCACTTTCAGGGGAAAGAGAACTCAGAACTCCAGCAGTTTCTCTGAAGGAAACAACCGGGAAGCATTCTGATGACCACGCAGTGCAGAATGAGATTTATCACAGGAAAATCATCTCTTGGTTTGGAGATTCCCCTGTGGCTGTCTTCGGCTTACATCGACTGATAGAGTTCGGGAAGAAGTCTGGGAAAAAGGCTGGAGATTGGTATGGACCAGCAGTGGTTGCTCACATTTTAAGGTATCATTCTTTTCAACCCCTCCATCTTGTGCTTAGAAATACCAGCTTTGACAGTGAGTGTATACAGCTGGAGCTGTATACAGCTACATGAGAACCTTCTGCTATCATTTGCTAGTGGGGAGTCAAGACTTGGGGACTCCAGTTACATTATGACAGACAGAGTTTTCTCTCTTGCTTATAGGTACTGATACACAGGGTCTCATTCTAAGTAGGTTCTCATTAGATTATATTGTTGTATGTTCTAAAAGCTACCATCTCTTTCAACCTAGAGGCAGACCATGTTATTATTATTATTATTATTATTATTATTTTGTAATATAACCAGTTTACTGATATCTAATGAGATGTGAAGAGCTAAAATTATTGTTTCAGCATTTCCATGCACATTTCAAATTCATATGAATGATAAACAGTGAAGCAAACATTTATAAAATCATAATTACAAAAGCATAGTTTCCAACCTTTAAGGTGTCCCCAGGCTCTGCATGTTTTCCTGTAGTGGGTAAAGGTAAATATTGGGGGCTTTACAGACCTTACAGTTTCTGTTTTCCGTTTTTCTTTCTCTTTCAGTATTTGAAATTGTCAAAATCATTCTTAACTTACAGTATAAAAATACAGGCTACAGGTTGTATTTGGCCATAATTTTCTGGTGGTTCTTCTATACTAATATACAGGAACATACATAGTGGATATGTTTCTACATAACTTAAAGTTAAGTAGAAATAAGGATATAAGCAGATAAAATATTTTATTTGCCACATCTGTGTAACTCCTTTTTTGCAGATGTTGGGTTTTTGCCACAACACATGCCGTTGGAAACACTCTTGTTCAGAAGTGCTTTCCATTTTGCGGTTTTGCTTACAAAATCCCAACACTTTAAATTAGGAAATTCATTTGCTCAGGTCAAATAGTTGTTTTTTCTTCCTTCCCTGCCCTGTGGTGCTAGGTATCAAACCCAGGACTCAGGACGCTATGCAAGTGCTCTAACCCTGAGCTACATTCTAGCCCCTCATACTGATTTCTGAATGGGGTGAATAAGCCAAACTGTTGTTTAAAGAAAAAAAAAAAAAAGAACTTGGACAAGTGTAGTTGTGGACAAGCACAATAACACATTCTTTGTACTGAAGTCTTACTGTGCAGCACACCTTGAATACATGTGACTCACTGCTTAGAAAGCATTCTGTGTAGCCAGGGAGCTGATGAAGAAAGGAAGTCCTCTTAGGGCTGGAAGACAAGTTTTATAGCCAAGGATTCTGGAGGTACACTTTGTAACTTCGTTTAGAGTCTTCAGGTAATTCAGTGTAATGTTCGGCTTTGGAAAATGCAGCTGATTTCTGACCTCACTCAGATGATAGCCTTGATAGCAGACATACAGGTTACATAGGAATGGCGGGGAAGCAATGGACTGTTTTCCTTTTTAAACTAAATTTGTAGGTGCCGTCAGGAAATTTTAGTTAGGATTTTAAGGATGTTTATTATCTTCCTAGAAAAGCAGTAGAAGAAGCAAGGCATCCTGACTTACAAGGAATAACTATTTACGTTGCGCAGGACTGTACAGGTATGGAGCGTGTGGAATTATAGTTGTGTATTGTGTTGGCTCAGACCCTCATGTATGAGTAGCTCATCTCTTCCTGGTTTATATTGTGAGTGGTTATGAAGATGGCAGTCATGGCTAATCCATTCTTATTCCTACATAGCATCCTTCATGTAACTAGAATTTAGGTTTTTTTTCTGAATAAATGCCATTAGTTATTAATTAAAATATATTCTCCAAGGAAATTTGAGCATTTAAAATGATTGTTTTGCTATCTTTTTCCCCCACTGAGACAGGTTTTTACTATGTAACCTTGGCTGGTCTTGAATTTATAATGCTACTTCAGCCTACCTCGTCACTCTGCAGCCAGCGCTGAGGGCATCGACACACTTCATCTAACATTAGCCAGTGCTGAGAGCGCATCGACACACTTCATCTAACATTAGCCAGTGCTGAGAGCGCATCGACACACTTGATCTAACATTAGCCAGCTCTGAGGGCGCATCGACATACTTGATCCAACATTTCTTTTTAGTTAGTCAGGTTAAGCCAGTTATGAGGACTCATGCTGGTAATTCTGGCCCAGGGAGGCCAGGGCAGGAGGGTCATATATCTGAGGAAAGAAAATTCTGGGTTTCCCTTAGAGTAAGTTTCCCACGAGTGTGCCGATAAGTCACCTCTCATGGTGGTTTGGGGCCTTCTGTTGATGGCCAGTATCTGTAGTCACCTTGAAACGCCATTGGGAATAGAAATAGAGGCGTAAGCTTCCTGAAATAAAGTAAGCCACTCCAAGCTGTAAGTTAAGTTTTTACAGAAAAGCTGTTAAGAGGATAAAATTAATGCTTTAGAAAAGTAAGAAATATGTATGTCAGGTTTAACAAAGAGCTACAAACCTGGCACCCAGCAGGGGTTCACAGTGGAAAGAGTGTTCTGTGTTTGGCATTTTATACTTCTTAAAACATTTGTTTATTGTATGTGTGAGTTGTGAGCGTGTGGAAGTCAGAGGACAACATGCAGCGATTGCTTCTCACCCCCCACCATGTGGGTTCTGGGGGTGGAGCTCAGTTTGTCAGGCTTTTCGGGGCAAGCGCCTTCCTGCTTAGCCGCCCCACTGGTCTGTGTTTGGCATCTAATCAAGTCAAACACTTTCTGACTTACCTTACGCTTTTACTTTTTATTGTCGGTTTCCCTGATAGATCGTATGTTCAGGGAGATCAAGACATGTGTTTATTACTGTTGAATTTCTAGGGGCCATGTGTATGGCCTTTTGAACTTGTTGATCGTTTGGTGATAGCAGCGACCAGATGACCAGCCAGTGGAGGGGTGGGATCGGAGTAGGAGTGTTGGTACAGCTGCCTTTGTAAAAGTTAATGTATACTTCTTCCTTTGTTTCTCCCAGTTTACAATTCTGATGTAATTGATAAACAGACTGACTCTGTGACCTCTCGGGACGGCAGGGACAAGGCTGTCATTATCTTAGTTCCTGTTAGACTTGGTGGAGAAAGAACCAACACCGACTATCTGGAGTTTGTGAAGGTAAGAAGTGCTCAGTTGGCTTTGCGTTTTTGTTGTCCTAACATAAAATGTAGTACCCAACATAAAAAATACACAAGAGTTGCGGTCCCTTTTCCATCAGTAAGTCATGTGATCCTACAGTTACACGTTGTGAAGTTTGGCATCAGGAGTTTTAAATTTCAGCATCGAGAGTTCACATGTGAGTCTGAAGAGCATTCTTCTGTGACAGAGTGAATACTCTTTGAGTCTGTGTGGTGTGCAGGAGTGGGGCTTGCAACATGGCTGCTATTCCAGTATCCTTTTCTTTTTCTTTTTTTTTTTTTTTTCTTTTTTTGGTTTTTCGAGACAGGGTTTCTCTGTGTAGCTTTGCGCCTTTCCTGGAACTCACTTGGTAGCCCAGGCTGGCCTCGAACTCACAGAGATCCGCCTGGCTCTGCCTCCCGAGTGCTGGGATTAAAGGCGTGCGCCACCACCGCCCGGCCCAGTATCCTTTTCTTATTAATATATATATATATATATATATATATATATATATATATATATATATATATATCTTAGTTATTCTTAAAACTAACATTAAACCATGTCAAATTAACTGATAAAGCAAACCCTTAAAATAACTACTGTATTTCATAATTTGTTATTGTGACACCGTGCTGTCGGCGAGAAACTGATAATGTAGACAGAAGTAAGATAGTATGGGGGAGGGGAGGACCCAACTTCCCTTTTTCGTTAATCAGTTAAGTCTGTGCAATTCCACAGCGCATAGTTACGTTTCTTGAACCAAAGGAAACTGTCCGGTCCTATGTGTCGTCTTGTTTTAGGCACTAAGGCATTTAGTTTTGAAGCAATGCCTTTTGCAATATTCAGTGTTTGGTTAAGTTTGTAGCTTTAATAATCCTTTCAGTTTTAATAAAATGGCTTCCTCCTTGCTGGGTTAAAATTCTTGGCAGAATGAACTTTAGGGAGGTGAAGTTTGTTTTGACTCACAGTACAGAGGTGTTCAGTCCTTAGCCTGCAGGCGACATGCAGCCCCGGATAGCTATGAATGCTAATCTACACAAAATTGTAAGCTTACTTAGGACATTATGAGTTTGTGTGTGTGTGTGTGTGTGTGTGTGTGTGTGTGTGTGTGTGTGTGTGTGTGTATGTATGTATGTATTCGCACGCCTGCCTTTTCCTTTGGCTTTGGTAACTGTATTGCATGGTTCTTTAGTGTGAACTCTGGCGATGACAATGTTGGGTTGTAGTGTCATACAGAACAGATGTGTTCATGCTCTTCTCCTTGTATGTATGTGAGTCTTCCAGTGTGTTATCTTCTAAGTACAGACAGCCCAGTTATAACACCAGACCGTACATGTGCTTATGATGCTTTAAAACAGCCATTGTGGATAACAGGCACTTCATGTTGTTTAGAAGACAGAATAGTCTTCTCACTTGCTTATTAAGGTTGCTTCCATACCTCAGCTGTGTTTCCTGCGTTGCCCACCATACTTTACAGTTGGCTTCCCTTTGCGCTACATCAGCAGCTGGGATACCAAAGGACCAACCTTGCTTCCTACTTTCCTATCAATTAATTTTCATGGTAAAAGTAAATAGAGTCCCTTCTGTGTCATTACATTTTAATCCTAGGATGGCTTATGCCGTGTCTCAAAGGGAAATGACTGCTGCTAGGGAGAAGGTTTGGCTAGGAGAGCCCACGAGGACCTGAATTTGAACCCACTTGCCCACAGAAAGGTGGGCATGGAAGTATGTTCCTGAAATCCCAGTGCTGGGCATGTGGAAGCAGGAGGATAAGGTCTCTAGGACTTGCTGGCCAGCCGGTCCAGCCAGTGAGTGCAAGGGCCAGTGAGAGACCCTGTTTCAAGGAATAAGGTGGAGAGCATCCGCTGGCTTCCACATGCTTGTACATACACACGCAACCACACCTATGCACTTCTGGAGTGAGGGAGGAGGAGAGAAGCCCCAAAGAAGAAAATGACTGGAGGAAGATAGTTCAATGCAGAATGGTCACATGACTAGTTTTCCATTGAGGTAAATAGTAAGTCTGTCTGCCCAGCTTGTAGGGACTTGGCGTAAGTATTCAAAGACTGTAATTTGAACAGTCATTGGATACAGTACATGCTGCCATATTCGATGTGCATCGGGATTGTGTCACAAGGACAAAATAGTGGAGCTGAACAAAAGACTGTTGTCAACAAAATTGTTTTTGAAAGTTACGATTTGGACAGATCCCATTGTAAAAGCTAGTTATGTGGCAGCATGTTAATAGCAAAAAAGCAAAATCATTTACTGGTGGTGAATTTAAGTGAGGTATGTAGAGTGTGGCAGGTGTAACATTACATGCTTTAAGAAAAGGTATAGTTCTAAATTCATTTTGTCTCACCTGACTATAACCACGTGAAGTGGAGAAAGTGGAAAAACCCACTGAAAGAAGATTGGAGAGAAGAGTCCCTAATTTTGAGTTTCCTACATTGGCACTAGGTAACAGCTCGGCTACAGGTACAGCTCGGCTTGACGCTTTTAGTAAAGAGATTGATGATGAGTTAAAGACACTAAAGACATGGCTTCTTTAGTGCCACTAAAGGGCACAACTAAATCGAGAGGTTGCTATAAAGCAGTAAAAAAACAAAGCCGTTTCTTTCTCACTGTATCTATGGCCATTCCCAGTGGTACTTATAATGGTAGGTAGAAGCGAGGGGCTTGTACAATTCATAGAAGATGATGTCGCCACTGCCCAGAATTTGTGTTGAATGAAGTATTGCATAATGCATCAAGAAAATATTTGTGCATAACATTAAGACTGAATCTCGTCATGAAAATCTTCATTAGGACTGAATTTCATAAGGACCAAGGGGTTTAATCCTCACCAGTTCCAGGAATTCCTTAAAAATGTTGATGCTGACTGTGGCTATATCAGTAAGTGTTTTTGGAAGTAAGAGGCTAAGTCAAGGCCAGAGGTTGAGAAGTTTTGTGATTTGCAACATGTTATCAAGTCTTTTCTGATATCAAAACAAAATTTATACTGGAACTTGACAATGATGTAGCTTTTTTTTTTTGGTTTTTCAAGACAGGGTTTCTCTGTGTAGCTTTGCGCCTTTTCCTGGAACTCACTTGGTAGCCCAGGCTGGCCTCAAACTCACAGAGATCCGCCTGGCTCTGCCTCCCAAGTGCTGGGATTAAAGGCGTGCGCCACCACCGCCCGGCTTTTTTTTTTTTTTTTAAAGTGGATTTAAAATTGTTACAGGTCATTGGGTGGTGGTGGTGCACACCTTTTATCCCAGCACTTAGGAGGCAGAGGCAGGGGGATCTCTGAGTTCAAGGTGAACCTGGTCTACAAACTGAGTTCCAGGACAGCCAGAGCCACAGAGGAAAAACTGTCTTGAAAAAACAAACAAACAAACAAACAAACAAACAAAAACAACAACAAAAAAAATTGTGGTAGTTCAAATTCAGGCTCTTTGGACAGTTTTATACATTTCAACACACTGGCTAAACCACAGACTGTGGAAACCAAGGAATATGTGACATAAGAGCTTGAAAACAGACTGTTTAAAATGGATCTGAGACCAGGCTGTAACCCTCAGAGACCTGTTGCTAGGCACCGTACTTCTAGCAGTCCGTCTGTCCATTCCTCCCACCCCCCAAAGCTTCCCTTACTTCCCCAAACAGTACTACTGGCTGAGAACCAAGTGTTAAACATTTGAGCCTGTGGGGGACATTTACATTCAAACGATACAGGCTCCTTGAGCCAAAGCCTTTTCTTGGTGGAGGAAGTTGCTGGGGTCTTCCAGGTGTGGTTCATCTGGCAGAGGGCTCTGCTGTTCGGTGGTGTCCATGGCAGCACTGCCTGAACTCTTGAGTGTGAGCTAGTGAAACGAGCAGTCGTTGTTATTGTGATGTATTCTGTACATGTGGGAGTTACATGAGCAGTATCTGTTAACTCGCTTGTGTTGGCCTTTCCAGTATAATCCATCTCCTTTGCCCTCACAGTAGCCGAGTACTTCATCTTTATAAACTGGAAAAGGCCCAGGGAAATCAAGTGATATGTTCAAGTTCAAACACTGAACTGGAGATAAGATCATCACTTAAAATCCCTCAATATAGACTTGATTCGAAAGATAACATTTCCTTGAATGTCTGCTAGTTGGGTTTACACTGTATCCGCTGAAATGGGAGCACTTTTGAGGGTTGATACATTATCAGATACAAATGCCTGAAGTGGGTGTGTGAGGATTCTATGGCAGGTGTTACACTGGGCCAGAGGGAGAGCTTGTAAAGAGCTGCCCACCTAAATGCGAAGGAGGGTGTGTCTGGAAGCCCCGAGCGAGAGGCGTCAGTGGAACCCACTCCTTTGCTCCCCTCTTCTTTACTCATCTGATTGAATGGTGGTCAGCAGTTTTACCCCCCCCCCAACCAGAGTACATTATAGTCTAAAATGCAACATATAGTTATGTGTTTTAAATATATTATTCAAAAATGTATTATTCAGGGTCCTTCCACACTATCTTAGAAATAGTACCATCCCAGAGTCTTACTACATTCCATGAGAAAGACATATGCCATGTGCTTTATCACTCCTTACCACAAGAAACTTACTTAATTAGTTTTATTTCTGTAAGGAGTTGAAATGAGGAGAACCCAAAGTTCTTTCTTCCACAGGACAAATTAGAACTTTGCTTTTTGATGGATTATCTTCAGTTTTATCGATTGCTTTGTGGATACAACTCAGTAAATCCTCACACTAGCTGACGTGGAGAAACAGCGAGGAGCTGAGAGGTGTTTACAGTTTCTAAAGATACAGCCCCTTACACGCGGTGGCCTTCCAGCTCCCAGCCACTAAATGTGTATTGTGGGGTCTAGTCTGAAGCGGAGGAAATACAGATGTCAGGACAGAAGTCTCCTTTATGTGGCCACATTAGGTTTCTTAGAAGAGTGGGTAATGAGTCTTGAGATATATATGTGTGTGTGTGTGTGTGTGTGTGTGTGTGTGTGTGTGTGTGTGTGTGTGTGTGTAGGTC